CTTACACTATTGTTCTGTACCATTACACTATGTTTAGCCTTTTATGTATCTATATTTTACATAATGTATAAAGGCTGTAAATGTTTTGAGGGCTGATACCATACCATATATATTTGTTAATATGTGTCTTTTAAAAAATTAAGATATAGTTCACATACCATAAGAGTCACCACTTTAAAGTGTACAATTGAGTGACTTTTAGTATATTGACAAGATTGTGCAATCACCACCACTATCTAACTCCAGAACATTTCTATCATCACAAAAAGAAACCTGGTGCTCATTAGCAGTAACTCCCCATTTCCCGCTTCCCTCAACCCCTGGCAACCATGAATCTACTTTCTGTTTCTATGGATTTTGCCTATTCTTGGCATTTCCTATAGAATCATACAGTATATGGTATTTTATGACTGGCTTCCTTCACTGAATGTAATGTTTTCAAGGTTCATCCATGTTGTTGTATGGATCAGTGCTTCATTCCATTTTATGATTGAACAATATTTTTAAAAACTACTAATCTGTGTATGTCTCCACTGAACCTCAGCAGGAAAGTTGAATTTACTTTGGTGTATTTTACCCAATAAACAGGAATAAAAATGCTTGTTTTTACATTACTGTCCTACCTCTTTTAACACAGATGTACCATTTTCACTCCTGACAGTTACCAGTTAATTATAATCCAAACAACACACTTTTCAACTGCATATAATTTCCCTTGTTGAAAATTGTTCCACCTGATATTTAGCAAATACCTATGGAATTTTCAAATTACAAGTTGTATGAACTCTTACTGTGAATGTTTATATTATTAAAATATTTCCTACTCATGATTTAAAAGGGCTCTCTCACTTTAAAAAATCATGTGTTTTTTTTTTTTGTCTTGGATTTTACGTTCAATCTTTTTTCCCCCTAAGAATGAACATTGGATATACCCAGAGCCTATGCAAGTAGCACTATCACTTACTCATCTCTCTTGCTGAACACGAATGAGAAATATCATACTCCAAACTTCTTATATTTCCCCTGCATTTGTTGCATTCACAGATTATTTAAAAGAAATAAATTTAAACCTTGGCTACCCAGAGATTTTTCAAGGAGTCCCTAGATAACTACTGTTAGTCTTTTGATGAATAGCTCCCCAAATGGAGAAAAGGGAGAGCAGGGAGGGAGGGAGAAAAAAATTAGAGAAGAGGACTTTAAAAAACCTATTTTTCCACTTAACAATGTGTCACCAACATCTTTTTATGTTGACAAATACAGAGTGTCATCCTCATCTTGAATGCTATTTGTGCCATAATCAATTTGAACCAGCCCCACTATTGGTAGACATTTTGTTTTAAATGTTACTTCATAGGCCAAGCGCAGTGGCTCATGCCTGTAATCCCAGCACTTTGGGAGGCCGAGGCAGGCAGATCATGAGGTCAGGAGATCGAGACCATCCTGGCCAACATGGTGAAACCCTGTCTCTACTAAAAATATAAATATAAAAAGTAGCTGGGCATGGTGGCATGTGCCTGTAATGCCAGCTACTCAGGAGGCTGAGGCAGGAGAATCACTTGAACCCGGGAGGCAGAGATTGCAGTGAGCTGAGATGTGAAGGATTTGGATAGACACAAAAAGAAAGAAAAGAAAAGAAAAAAGAAAAAAACCCCACAAATTTATCTATCATAGTGTATTTGCTTGGAGTATATTATAATTTGAACTAAGAGGGTCAGAGCCAAATGTAATGAGAATGTTAGGATGATAGATCCTAGCACTTTTACAGCGTCTCCCTTTTCAGGTACTTATCAGAGGTCATTTGCACAAAAATCCACAGGAGCAGTTGACAGCGATGCTGAATTATCCATCTTAGCTATTAAAAAGATCCATCTAAATCACTGTAGGATTTCTTTCAGAATCCACATTTTCTATATTTACAATGTCATGGAACACTTTTCTACATTTTCATTAATTAATCAACACATTTATCTAGCACCTACTTTGTATAAGAGCTTTTTCTAGGTACCAAGGAGCACCCAAGAAAGTATAAGACACAATACGTGATTTCTAAGGGTTGCAATGGAGTCAAAGTTACAATGTATATTGGGATTCATCAGTGGTTTTTTTGCCTAAGATCTGAAGATCATACAACTCCAACTCTACCCCAGCAAAAAAAAACAAATATCCTAGAGAATGATGTTTTCTTATAAGTAAACATCTACAGAGAAAATATTTAAAAGCCAACTTTGGCTCCAGCTACTTAAGAAGACTCACTGTTGAAATTATTCTAGAATATTGGACAACCCTGGGGATGCTTTAAAAGAAGACTCAAGAGTTGAACTCTTATAGATGATAGGAAAGGCTTTTCAAACTCATAATACCTGACTTATCCAAAGACCACCCTCATACCCCAAGTGCTGTTGAAACCCAGGCAGTAAGCCAGTGGAGAAGAACTCCAAAACAAAACAAACACCCTCCCAGCAGTCAAAAATAAGTGTCACAAAACCGAAATTCATTTGGTTTTCTCACAGGTGAGGCCCTCCCAGGCCAGCCCCACTTAAGAGTGTTCCTTTACTTTCAGTTCATCCATACTTTAACAAGCTTGGGCATATGACTTTCTAGCATACTATAAATTAGAAGCAGCAAATTAGAAGCGGGGAAGTTGCTAGCATAAGCATTGTGAGAACAGCAAAATGTACTGGGCTGCGAGTCAAGAAAAAGAATACCTACTACAAAAAATGAGCAAAAGAACTATTTTATGCAGTCAATTTATTCATAAATAAAATAATTACTTATAGGAAAAATATTTCAATTGAAATTTCATTTTCCTCAAAAACATTCAGCAATTTTTAAGCTGTGTAAGTGGGGCCTAAATTAGTAGAAGAGATTTCAAACACAGATCCATTATTTTACTGTCCTATGACTCAGGATATGCAGTAGGGGAAAATCAATTATTTCTATGGAATCGGCCATCAAAGCTTGTTCAACTGTCCATGGGGAATTAGCGGTAACTCACTATTCAGTGGTCCAGAGGAATTAACGCCACATTAAGGAAGCATCCTGTTGATCATTATGGCCAAATATATCATCCTTTCATTCTTAAAAGGTGAGAAAAAGTGTTAAGATCAATCTTTCTAAAACTACAAGGCCACTAGTAATTCATCATTGCCTTCATTAGTAGAGATTACCCACAACTTTGTAGAAAAAAAACATCCTGAGTCCTTTCAGGCACTCCAGTATATGTAATTATATAAAATGGGGGAAAAAGATTGAAAGTGAACATAATGTGACCCACATTTTCCTTCCTCTCCCTTACCACCTTGCTGTACACCCCTGCCAATCCTCCTAAGGTCCATTTTCTGACTTCTTTCAAAGGGAATCCTTCTTGTCTCTGATAAAAAATTCACCAATAAATATATTCATAAATAAATGCAAATCCTGAGGACATGTGGCTTTTAGAATCATATTCTATGTTTCTTTTCATGTATACATTTTACCTGTTACAATCTTCCACTTCCTTCTTTGCAATCTCTCTCTCCCTGATTGGAAGGTCTTACCTTTCTTTGCAATGTTCATCCCTACTGATTTATCCCCAAAGATCATCTTGGAATCTTGTTTATTAGCATTCTTTTAACATTTACTGTATGCCAGCTGACAGGGTTGGGGAGAGTAATAAATAGTCTTCCATTTCCCCAGAGATGTCGGTCATCTACTTTTCACACTAATTCCCTGAGCTAGGTTCTGTTATTATTCCCATTCTACATATCAGGAAATTGAGGCTCAGACAGGCTAAGTAATTTGTATATATACATATAAACATATATGTATATGTACAAACTTTATAAATATTACTTGAGTATTCAAAGAGATCCAGGTATAGCATCAACTGTATCTGGGTAGATATTCAGTACCTCCTTTGTTGATCTAATATTGATGGACGACTCGTCAGTTAGCTCCTGTCACTAATTACAAATTTGCTCAATTAGATCAATCTAATCAAATTCCAGAATAAAAGAAAAAAACCCATGTGTTATACCAAGGTAGAGGGGTAAACCACACATGAATTTAATAGGTATATGATCAGAGTTTCTTTTAGAAAGTGAATAGCTTTGGTTATTGCTTAGGGAAAGGAGAGGCTGCTGAGAACATGGAAACAAAGTAGCTAGCCAGACAGTTAAGAGGCTCTGGAAAATAGAGAGGAATTTGGATTTGCCTGTATGAGAAAGTGGGATTGGGCCAGAAGGATGTGAGCAAAGAAGGGAGGCCATACTGAGAGGCCAAGTTGCTCCGTGAGATGGGAGGGAAAGGACAACATCCCCTGTGACATGAGTTTGTTTGTAAAAAACAAAATTTATTTTTAAATGTGCTGTCTGGTGTGCACTCCTTGCCTTGTAGTATAGATCATCAGTAAAAGTTTTGCTACTGCAAGAACCTTAAGTTCCTGATTGTTTTTATGGTAGATCGGTTTCAGGATGGGGACGAGAAGGGGCTTTGTCCCCTGTTTTGGTGGACACCAGAGTGGTGATAAAGGAGCAGCCACAGGGAACAGAGAAAAATACCTTCAATGGAAGCAGAAAGTAGAGCAGTGGTGATCCCAAAATTGTAATTCCTCAGAGAGATACTAGAGAGAGCTTTGGGTTTTTACCCAAATGGGAATTTGAATCAATTTCTCCTGATCTGAAAGGGCTGCAAAAATCCTGGAGGATATCCAGATTACACTAGAGAATCTCAACCACCTAGCTTGATTTTTGTAAAGAACAATGTTGTTTGCTAGAACCGAGGAAAAGACGACGGCAGAGGAGCTTCTTAAAAATAAATCTGAATATATCAACATGTGCAGTCAACTAATTTGCTGACTTCAAAATAGCCTGATGAAACTCTTTGCCTGTTAAACCTATTATTGCCCGTAATGAAAGATTCCATATGCACTAATCACAACATACAGCCTTATGTCTGATCATAGCTTCTAAAAAATCATGATACAGGGATTTTTAGTTATACTCAACACATTTTTCCTTTAGAAACCGGATTGGTTGTTATAGATGCCATGAATGATATAAATTGAGCTCATAGTTGGAAGAAATCTAAAGGATCAAGCATCCCTGAGTTTCAAACAGAAACTTGCACTGAATACATTCAAAGGTATGTGGATTTTATTTATAATTTGATATCCTTTTTATTGTGCTTATTTCTTTCTCTGAATTTCTTTTAAAAGATACAAATGTATTCTACATTTCTAATACTATATGCCATCAATAGTTACTTTTTAGTTGGCCCATAATTAAATTAGACTCTGATTACCGAAATAATTTTTTTTTTTTTTTTTTTTTTTTTTTTTTTACTTTATAATGCAACAAAGTGCTTGTTTAATTCCAAAGCTCTTTCTTGGGCCACATTTCACAGTAAAATATTTATTTTAGTTAATTATCACTTAAAGTAAAAATAATACTTTCACAGGCTGTGATCTACTACTTTGAAAAGCTTTTTATTTAATTACATAAAATAGAACCATCAATGAAGTGATTTTTCTCATTAACCCAGACAAAGAAAAAACAACAACAAATTTAGGAGTTAGGAAATCAGTGTACTTTTCATAGGCAGCATAATTACATGTAATATTAACTTCCTATACAAAATTTAAGGTCTTTCTTCTGACAGTTTTCCAAGTTAGTCAATAATTTGTGCCACAAATCAATGTGCACATTTTAGAATGACCTGTTTTGATTAATGTCCCAAGGGTCTTATTTATAGAATAATTACAGAGAAACATCAAACAAAACGAAGATTCCATTGAAAGAAAATGAAACCTCTGAGGCAGAAAGTATTCAAAATTCATTGAAAAATCACATAAAATTAGTACTATCCTCTCCTGTTAGTTCAGCCACATCTTTTGCTCCACAATCTGGAGCTCAGAGATGTTACTGGAGGGTCTTGCCTGAAGTTCTATAGATAGGAACTTCTGGAACTAAAATCTACTATCTTGGAAAATTAACATATTTTCTCAAATGATTAGTCCTTGCTTTTAACAGTAGCAGTACCCAGGTAGACTGTGCAGGAGACATTTCTGTGCCTCCTTGTTCTAAAATTATAAAATACTGTGCACTTTGATGATCTTCCCAACCTTTAGAGCCAACTTTATTCTGTTAATCATTAATTATAAATATCATTTAGCTTCTATGACTATGGGCTGTATGGGCATAGGAAAATGGCATGCAAAGTCATATGAGGATAGATCATTCATGTCCCTGTAACTTGTTCAGCCCTCAACCTAAATTAAATGCATCTTTGTCACTATTGTGACTCTCAAACAATGAAACAGGCTGAGAGCTGGAAATCACATATGACTGAAGTAAATTCACAAAGAATGGCTCCATCCTTCTTACTAGCAATAGACTAATGTAGATTACGTGTGTTTTATGGAGCATTCATTACATCCATGTTTCAGAAGAGATAAGAAAAGTGGATGTTGATTTACATTTCAGAACCATCAAGAAATGGGGACCTGGATTTTATTTGCCTGCCTCCTGGGAGCAGCTTTTGCCATGCCTGTGAGTAAAACACCCCTTGCATAAGTCTGTCCAATTTCACAAGCTTGAAAATAAAAATCTGCCCACAGTTGGTGAAATTAGGGTTTAAAACAGTATGAGATCAGATGTCTTCATACGTCTCCGGGTTGAAGAAACACTTCAGGAGCTTGTTTTAAAAAGACAGATTCTCAAATGCCTCTACCAAAAATTCTGATATGGTACAGCTGGGCTGGGGCCCAGGACTCCGCATTTTTATAAGCACCCCAGGAGATTCTGTTGGAACTGTTAGCTTGTAAATATCACCACCCATCTAGATGGAGGAAGCTTTTGGAGGAGACCCTTGAAAGGTCTCCACAGAAAGTGCTTAACCAGCTTTGGACAAATATTACAGAGATGCCAGTTTTGTCTAAAACCCAATTCCTCTCAGGTTTCCAAATCTCTTCCTGCCCTCCATATATTGCTGCTGTTACCCCTCAAGGGGTAAGACTTTTGTGCTAGGAATCCACTTTTTGAGCCATCTTCCTGTTCTCAGAGGCCCCACCTCTTTGGGTACATCTGATAAGTACATGGCTTTTTTTGTGGTTGCCTGGGATCCTGCCTACACCCAATACATAGTGATATATTTTATATTCAAATGTATTAAAGATCAGGACATTAGACCCACTCTGTCTGGACACAGGTGCATAAGGACAGAGAACTTAGATCACATGCATGCCAAGCAGGCTGCATCTGCTTTTTGGTGGAATAAAGAGCAGTTGATACAACCAGAAGCCAGCAAGCTTGCACGCCTGCCTCCTCTCTTCCTCTCTCACCCAGAAAACCAAGATTCTGTGCTCTGACTTCCTGAAATCCTGAATTGTAGCGATTCCTAGTTTCTTCAGGGGTCCCTGCCTTACAAATTCAGCCCTTTTCCCACTCTCTAAGCTGGTATTGATCAAGAGGGCATACAACCTGACTAAAACCATTCACATCCAGATGAGAGTGAATAAACCTTCCTATGAAATGTGAGCATTTTTAAAGAATATAATAGAGCCAATCCTAAATGAGGCCAATGTCTGAGGGAGATTTTCTGCATGACTGTCTCTCCTCCCTGGACCCCAGGAACAACCAGAGTTCCACAATACAGGCACCAGACACTTGGCCCCCAGTTTTGAGAGGATAGACAGTCCTGATTCAGATCATCATTCAGGTGGCCTTTTATTTTTAACTTTAAAATTTTTCTGCCATAAAACCATTGGCAGAATAATAAAAAAAGATTGGCTTAAACATCATAAATGAACTCTTTCATTTTCCATGCGATTTATAATGTTTCCACTTTGCTCCACCCATCTTGTTCTGGCATTTATCAATAATTCCCACCTTGTGGTTTCTTTTGTGGCTTCTTTTGTTGTATGGATGTGTTGTTTACTTTGCATGTCAATTATGAGAAATCCCTTTGAACGTAAAGTACTTGACCAACTCCTGATCTACAAGGGAACATTTGTGAGACAATTCTCTCCTTGTTGATATTTCTTTATTGTGTAAAAGAAGCACACTTCTCTCCCCAATATGGGATGAGTTTTATCAGCAAGTAAACTGTTGGGCAGGATAGGGTAGGATTCATCGAAAACACTGGGCGTGGGGGTGGGATGTTGTCCAAAGATCACTGGAGAATAAATGTGTGCTGGTTTCTGCTTCCAGGTCTCCAACCATAAGACTATAACCCCAGGAACAGTCATATAGCTGTTTTGGACCTCTTTAAAATAAGAGGTCTCCTCTTCTACACAGCACATTTGTTCAAACTAAAAACAGACCTCAAGTATATTCTGTACTATATAGATTTTTAAAAGTAGCTTCAGTCTCCTTTAATGTGAACAATTGCATACTGACTTAATCTCTTCCTCTCTCTTCTCTTCCTTCACTCTCTCCTTTCCTCTCTCTTTCTATTCTCCTCCTCTCCTCCCTATAAAAGCTACCACCTCATCCTGGGCACCCTGGTTATATCAACTTCAGCTATGAGGTAATTTTTCTCTTTACTAATTTTGACCATTGTTTGCGTTAACAATGCCCTGGGCTCTGTAAAGAATAGTGTGTTGATTCTTTATCCCAGATGTTTCTCAAGTGGTCCTGATTTTACAGTTCCTACCACCAGCTTCCCAGTTTAAGCTCTGATGGTTGGCCTCAAGCCTGTGTCGTCCCAGCAGCCTCCTGCCTGGCCACTCTGACTCAGTCTCTCCTCCTAAATATGGCCGTAAGCTTACCCATCATGAACCACCACTCAGGGAGGCTCCATGATAGGGCAAAAAGTCAACTCTGACCAGCTTGGTTCTATCCCAGCTAGTAAAATGTAAGGATTAGGTAAGATGTTATTTAAGACTCTTTCCAGCTCAAAAACTCCTGATTCTAAGATAGTCACACTCTATGTGTGTCTCTCATTTGGCTCTGCTGAAATATTAGTGACTAAGTGGTATAGGAGAGACTCTGCAGAACAATGGAATGCATGAGTTTTGGACATTGGGTTTGAGGTTCTCCTCAACCTCTTACTAACTGTGTGACTTTGGGCAAATCATTTCCTCTTTCTGGAACCCTGGTTTCCTCATGTGGAGAAAGGAAATAATTATAATAACCATATATCAAAATATTGTTTGGAGAATAATATACTTAATGAATATGAAAAGTACTTTGTCAAGTATAATATGAGCAAGTTTACTAATTTTTTTGTATCAATTAAATGTCATATTACTGTATGAAGAATCCTCAAACCTAAGTCTAACCAAGTATATATACTGTTCAGAAAGGAATAAAATTCTTACTTTTCTCACAGGTTCAGGTAACAATCTGTGAGTTTATTTACTTATAAAAGCTGAAGACAAATGTTAATAAGAATTTGAGGCAAGATTTTCTGTTAAGCCTAAAAGATTGACACATCTGATGAGTAAATCTGTGTTTCCAGGATGAGGGACAGTGTTTGCACCTCTCTTTTTCCCATTGTGACATCAAAGAAAAAAGTGAAATTAACATCATGTCATATTATTATGTCATAATTTTGTGTTTGTTTTGCTCTTACAATGAAAAGCAGGAATTACGGAATTAAACAGATTTACTCCTTTTGTCACCTCAGTCAAGTTAATGAACCTCTTTAATTCCCCATGATCTTATCTAAAAAGTGAGAGTAATAATACTTGCCTCCTAGCATATGAGAAAAGATGAAGAATGTGTGTGATGGATGTAAACACAGTGCCTGACACACAGGAAGCACCCGAAAAATGTTTACCTTCTTCTTTCTTTTGTAGAACTCACATTCTCAGGCTATCAATGTTGACAGGACTGCATTAGTGAGTCTATATTTCATACTGCATCAGTGAGTTTCTATATTGGATGAAAGTAAATTAAATCAAATGGGTTCTAATATCTTTTTCTCTTAAGGTGCTTACCCCTTTGAAGTGGTACCAGAGCATAAGGCCACCGGTATGTAGATATTTTGTTCTTTATTCCCTGAAAATATTAGGCATGCATTAAAATTCCCATATTAAGTGAAATATCATGTCTACTCCACATACAGACATTAATGGGAAATTTAGTTTGTAAAAAATCATATCTGTGTACACAGTTACAAATTTTTGCAAAGGAAAAATGAATAAAATACTCCTATAGCCATAATGGCAAAGAAAACACTGCTGCTTCTCTGGTTGGAGTCACCTGAGCCAATGGTAAACCTGCCTCTCTGTTTCTCACCAGTACCCTTCCTATGGTTACGAGCCCATGGGTGGATGGCTGCACCACCAAATCATCCCCGTGCTGTCCCAACAGCACCCCCCGACTCACACCCTGCAGCCTCATCACCACATCCCAGTGGTGCCAGCTCAGCAGCCCGTGCTCCCCCAGCAACCAATGATGCCCGTTCCTGGCCAACACTCCATGACTCCAACCCAACACCACCAGCCAAACCTCCCTCCGCCCGCCCAGCAGCCCTACCAGCCCCAGCCTGTTCAGCCACAGCCTCACCAGCCCATGCAGCCCCAGCCACCTGTGCACCCCATGCAGCCCCTGCCGCCACAGCCACCTCTGCCTCCGATGTTCCCCATGCAGCCCCTGCCTCCCATGCTTCCTGATCTGACTCTGGAAGCTTGGCCATCAACGGACAAGACCAAGCGGGAGGAAGTGGTGAGTATATTTTGAAGCCACTACAATGCAAATCCTGTTAAAATGGTGCAGCAAAATAGGTCCCAGAGTTCTAAGGTCTCTGACAACCAAGGGTCTAGAGTTGTAGTAGTTACAAGTCTATAATTCTATTAGTCCAAGCAATATGCTATACCTTTATATTAAAAACAAATTCATCTAAATGGCTTGGTAATTAAGACCACAGTTTTTATGGTAGGTTTCAATTTTACTATTACTGAATTTCTACCAGAATATATATTACCAAAACCCATTAATAGAAATATATATTACTAAACCCCATGAATGTTAAAGGCAACAGTATAAGGGAATATCAGTTTTCCTTATATTTCAAGGTTTGACTAGCAAGAATAGGCTAGAGTTGCACTGAAGGCTTAAGAAAAGAGGGAGCAGGTAATTTTGAGAGTGCAAATATCTGAACAGGTTACAAAAGGTAGACAGGAAATCTCTTCAAAAACCTACAGGAAGATTCCCCATTTCCAGTAGTTTTCAATCTAACTTGGAGGAGGCTAAACTAAACATACTGTTAGATTCCTTTTCTGTACTGGGATTCTACAGATGATTAAGCTTTTAGCAAGAAGTTACTGCAATTTAGCACGAAATCTTCCATTACAGGTAGCTCTTACAAATGAATGGGAATAGTCAACAAAACAACCTTAATCTACCTCCATAAAGTCTTACTTCTATGTATACGAGATTATGTGATCCTATCATGTATATGTATCCAACTGTAATTCCAATTTATACATGTTATTGATGATTTGCCACTGAGAAGAAGAGAGAAGTGAGGTGGAAATGACCAGGATAAGAAGCTAGGACACATAGGTTCCAGTTGTGGCTTTGCCCTCAAAGAGAAGGCAGTATTGTGAAAGTCACTTCAAATGTATGGGTGTTTTATTTTCTTTTAAATGGGGGAAAATGACAAAATCAGATTATTTTCAAGCCTCTATCCAATTATAAATATCGTAGTTTCTGAATTAAAAAAATCATAATATATGTCATAAATGGCTTCATAATTGTGAGCATGTTTATGGAAAATATGGGGCAGAATTTTTTGAAAATTGATTGAATCCCAAGTAATCTGGCGCCTATCATTGACTATTTTAGTCTAAGGCACATGTTTTCTCTGTACATAGAAAATGCATTTATTTATCTCTTTATTAATAATTAACACCATGAAGTTTATAATGTGCTCACATCTTGACAAAGCTATTTATGGAAAGGTGACTTTGGGAAGACAGTTTGAACTCTTTAAAACTCAGTTTCTTTTTGTGTAAAATTTGAGTATAAACATTGATAGCTTCTTAGAGTTAATTTTATGGAAAATAAAACAGCATGATAAGCTTGGAGCCTGGCATGCAAGAAGTACTCCCCGAAAAGGTAGCAATTGTTATTTTATTATAAAATAATAGGCTTTAAGTGTCCTGAAGGTGGAAGCAGTCCTCATGGACACCTAATATCTAATGACAACGAAATAACAAAGAAACTTTGGAAATTACAGAGTTCAGCTTAAATGGTTGTACATTGTTTTGACAAAACTGAAGCCAGACATGTTATAGTAAATGGTACTCACTAGGAACATTTGTAAATTATTTTAACTGTTCTTTTGCTATTTTTTTCAGGATTAAAAGATCAGAATATGAGAGGGGAATGAATACTTCAGTTGCTTTCAGGAATGACACAAGAACACAATGATTTTTGCTTATAATCACTTTACTTAGCAAATTCTGTAACTAAAAAAGTACCATTAGCAGACAATAAAATGCATTAAAAATCATTCATGTCTTTGTGTTGAATGAAACTTAAATTTTCCTATCATTTGAGACGATATATTATGAATGAGTATTCTTGAATAAGGTAGGAACTGCTCATTTAGTCATACAAATTCACCATTTGGCAAGCAAATAAGGAATATATTTATTTTTAGAGAAAATTTAAATTATACTATCTCAAATCTTTTTTAAAAAATGAAGTTTAAACATCAGTTAAAACAGTTGATAAAATGAAAATTTATGAACATGTACAATAACTAAAACCTGAACCAAATGAAGGGAAGTTTATATGAAAAATTCTTTACATTAAAAAATATAAACTTTTGAAGAATGTTTATATTATGAAACAAATTAGGACATGGAACACTGGCTTTATACTTCACACCACATTGGCAATCGAAATCTGGTCTTTTGATCTCACTCTATGGAAAAAGATTTTTAAATGAAATTATGTGATATGCATAATAATGTACTGAATTTAAAGTTATTCAAGTAATTTGTTTTCCCCAAAAAATGTTATCAATGGAGCTTCAAATAGAGAATTGCAGTGATTTTAAATACAAGTAATTTCTTTCACCTCATAACTTTAAGATGATAAATTGTACTGCATAGTCTTCAAAATGTTAACAAATGCATAAAATGGACTCAAAACAAGTTTTCTTTCCCACTCATATTTATATTTGAATCCTTTTTTCTTCTTACACCCACACAGAATTGTAAACAGTCTTTGCAGGGTTTATATTACACAAACCCATGGTAACTTTATTCCAGTACCTTTATGATTAAGGCCACTTAATCATTTTCTGGAATGAATAAACATAACTTTACTGGGAGGGTGTCAATATTCAAACAAATAACTTGATTTTAAAGAATTTAGATTCAATTTTTTAAAGGTAGAAAAGCTTAATTGGCATGGACCACTTCTAATCAATTGAGTCAATATTTATTAAGCACACTCTAGGGCAAGGCACTATTCCATGTGCTGGTGAAAATAGTAAGGCCCCATCCTTAAAGAATCTAGAATCTACCAAACGGATAAAATAAGCCCACAAATAACGATTAAAAAGTCCAAATGGTATTAATACTATGACAGAAGTACAGTCAAAATACTCTGGCAAACATGGCAAATATCCTTGGCTAGCTGTCCAATAGCTTTCCTCACCACTCCTTTCCTGTTGGCAGAGCTGGAATCTATCCCAGCATTCAGCCACAGTTTCCAAATCAAAATTCAGATATGCAGTGTGATAATACAGTGGAATGTTTCAAACCAGAGACATGCATTAACTGGTAATTATACTCTATACTTGCACTGTCAAATATGGTAGCCCTGTCCTATGTGGCTATTTAAATGTAAATAAATTAAAATTAAATAAAACTTAAAATTCAATTCCTTAGTCATAGTAGACACATTTTAAGTGCTAAGTAGTCACATGAGGCTAATGGCTACCATACTGGACAACAGAGATACAGAATATTTCCATCACCACTCAGTTTTATCAGACAGCATTGCTCTATGTACTACTTCTTGAAGTTGAAAAATAATTCTTATTAATTCAAATATTTTAAACAAAAGATGAAACAAAACAGATTTGCTGGTTGAAACTGAAAATCTCAACTACCCACAGCAAGTTGTTCCCCAAGCATGCCAGTAATCCTGATCTTGTATGAGAATTTTCTAAGAACTGTAGATGTGCCATTCTTTTCCTCAGGCCAAACTTCACATACTAAAATGGTTTCCCCTCTAGTTTTCATTTAGAACAGATAAATCCAGAGTTCAGGTGTATCCAGACTTCAGAAGATATTTACATTCTTTTCTATTTTGTGGTTCAAACTAATAGTGCAACATAACATAGAGGCAGGCACACATTCATGTTACACACACTCACATACCCATAATCACGCATGCCTTCTGGGTTTACCTGTAGTAAAAAGACACATGTGGAGACATGTGCCATTTGAGTAACTTGAAATTTTAAATAAAACTTCTTTCCATTACAATCATTTAGAGAATGATTATGTGGTTGTGGTATTCATTATCACCACCAAGACATACTACAGTTCTTCCAAAACAAAAATTATATCAAGAAAAAAATGATCAAGCTGTGCATTTCATTTGCAAGCAATGTCAAGTTTACCACCTCCTTTCTCAATTCCACACAAAATAAAAATACAGACTTTTCTCTAAATCTGAAGTTCTTCCTTTGGTAGTAAACAATAGCTGAAACTACCAAAATTGAGTTTAAGGCCAAGACTTTTAAAAAGAAAATAAATTAGTAGACAACTGTATTAATTGAGAAAAAATAACCCAAGAGATCCTGCTATGAACAGCTTAACATGAGACTAACAAGAGAAAAATGACTTTAACCAATTTCCTACATTTCCAGAACACAGTAGCATTTAGTAGTACTCCACATTGCTTTAATAAAATAGTCATCAGCTTATGTCTGTTGTGAAATTCTTGTTAGCTGGAGTTTTTACTTATTTTTGCGATTTGGCTTTCAATTCCTTTTGCCCCTATTTGATCTGGAGCCTTATCAGCAAGGGCCATAGGCTGACATTTAGATACTAAAAAATACATCCCTGTTGGGAAAAGTCCATGCTGGCCTCATTTGAAACACCTGACTCTTCCAGATGATAAATAATTATGGAGGAATAAGATTGGGCTGGGAGTCGTGAGGAGTTGAAGAGAGAAGAAAGGAGCGATCATTTGGGTTCAAAACATTTACCTCAATAAATCACACTTGAATCCTCTATCACAAAATCTAAATCAATAAATCCCATTTGCAAATATCATTGTCCTATGGTCAACAAAAAACACCATAGCACCCAGAATTCACTTTACTTTTAATTTAAAAAATGAACAATACTAAAATCTCAATTCCTTCGAACAGCCAAATTTTGTTTGCCTCTCCAAATAATTTTCCATGCTTCATATTTGGCCATGGAACATGCAGGCTCTGGGGGTGTCAGTTTAGTGTCTACAGAAGCACAAAGATGGCTTTCCAGTGTGGTGGTAGGGGATGCAGCCTCCATAACCAAACCATTTGATTCACAGTCATGACCACTGCCTATCTGCTGTGGAAACTTGGACAATTTTTTTGGCCTCTCTATGGCTCAGTACACCCGTCTATAAAATGTACTAATATCATGCTCTGAGTCTTTTCATGTTAATGAGTCCTAAGCTCAATAAATGTTGGCTACAATTCTTATGATGAGAAAGAGAACTTTGTCCTACCTCTGTAGACTCCCAAAGAGAACACTACCCAGTTGGAAGGAGTGATACAAAATTTAGATATGACATAGAAGTTTTTGATGCCACAGGCACTGAAGTACATCATGTTTGTCTTTTTTTTTTTTTTTTTTTTTGAGACAGAGTCTAGCTCTGTCACCCAGGCTGGAGAGCAGTGGTATGATCTTGGCTCACTGCAACTTCCACCTCCTGGGTTCAAGCGATCCTCTAGCCTCAGCCTCCCAAGTAACTGGGATTACAAGAGTGAGCAACCACACCCAGCTAATTTTTGTATTTTTAGTAGAAACGGGTTTTCACCATGTTGGCCAGATTGGTCTTGAACTCCTGACCTCAAGTGATCTGCCCACCTCAGCCTCCCAAAGTGCTAGGATTACAGGTGTGAGCCACCGTGCCCGGCCCATGTCTGTCATTTATCAGTGCATCACTCTGACAATGTAGCCACCTGATCTGATTGCGACCCAACCCTTCAATGATCTTTGCCTTCTCCTACCTGATATCCCCAGACACTGTTCTTTGCTGCCTCCAAGACAAGCCTTCATCCTCAATTCACCACTCTGAGGGTAACAGGAGAGCAACACCAGGCAAGTGTCATAGGGGCACTCCGCTAGATGGAGGCTAGAACTTGAGACCACCTCTCTCTGCATGTCTTCCTTTTACCTTCTTTCTAGGGCTGAGCCTTTGTGTACAGTGACTCCCAACTCAGACCCTTCCCTTGTCACTCTGGTATTGGCACAGTTCAGCTAATTCCATTTTATAAGGATTTTTCTTTCTTTCTTTCTTTCTTTCTTTCTTTTTTTTTTTTTTTTTTTTTGAGACAGAGTCTCGCTCTGTCGCCAGGCTGGAGTGCAGTGGCGCAATCTCGGCTCACTGCAATCACTGCCTCCCGGGTTCAAGCGATTCCCCTGCCTCAGCCTCCTGAGTAGCTGGGACTACAGCCGGGCACCAGCATGCCCGGCTAATTTTTTGTATTTTAGTAGAGACAGGGTTTCACCATGTTGGCCAGAATTGTCTTGATCTCCTGACCTCGTGATCCGCCCGCCTCAGCCACCCAAAGTGCTGGGATCACAGGCGTGAGTCACTGCACCCGGCCTTTACCAAACCGCTTTCCTCTAGATGAGTGGTTCTTAACCAGGTATAGTTGTGTCTCCTAGGGGACCTTTGGCAATGTCTGGAGTCACAACAGGGAGCTAAACAAATCAAAACAGCTCGGGGAGTGGTAGGGGTGTTAAGGAGAATTTGCAAAATAAAGAAAGTGTTGTCCGGTGATTAAGTCAGCTAATGTCTCCAAATCAAAACTATCCTGTTAAAAGTCCAGATTTCACCACTATACAATATATCCACGTAAGAAAGTATGTCTACCCTCTATATCTATAAAATAAAAAGTAAATTAAAACATATTTTTTAAAAACCATCCGACAGATGTTAGAATAGTTATTTGCTTCTTCAGAACTTACTTAGAAGTGAGTTTGTTATTTGTTTCTTGGGAGGTTACAAAGAAGCTTGTCTCCTGTGAGTTAATTTTTCCTGCTTATTTGACCTTCCAAAGATGTGCTAAGGAGTTAATTGTAAATCAGTCTGAAGAACCTCTAAAAGTGATTGTGTCTGAGTGATAAAGAGGAGAAAAATAATCAATTTAGCCATGAGTATAACTACTGAATTCAAGGTTATTCAATTAGTCTGGGACAAATTCTGTTCTGAGATTTGCTTGGATCTGGCAGAATAATGAGAAATTAGTGGTTCCATCTATAAAGTGGG